CGTAAGTCACACGTAAGTCAAAGGTTTGAAATCTACCATACACCATTAAAGTTAGGCTTTAAAATTTTTTATATGTACATACATACATACATACATACACACACACACACACATATAATACAGAGTATTTAAAAAAATTGGCCCCTTAACATATTTGGCCTAGTCAAGTAGGACTCCTCAGCCCACCCCCAGGCCGACCCTCTTCCTCTCATGCCATTGTTATAAGCTTAGATTTTGAACTTTTCAATTTTTAAATGGATAACTTGTTGGAAATTTTAAATAAATTGGACATTTTTCGGACATAAATTCGGTTGGGTCCACAAAATTATTTTTCGAAATAATTATGGACGCTTATCTCGGAAGTAAGACGAACGTCTTGACATATGACACGGCATAAACGGTGCTCGGGTGAATGAGAAATTAATTCTCAAAGTTGAATACGAGGGTAGAGTAAATACTCTTGTCCCACACCGGTTTTTGAACCTTTCATATTCCCATATTTAAGCTTAGACCTTTAATTGAGCTTATGAAAGGAACAAGAAGAGGACTCCTCGCGCGCCGCCGCCACCGGTGCCCGTCTGGCTCGGCACGTCACGACACGCGCCACGACACGCGCGCGTTGGGGCGAGGCGGGGCTAACTTTTTACGAGACCGAATCGAACACGCGTGGACACTTCGTGATTAACGAAGCGTCGTCCAAGGGTTGAAGCATGCATGCATAAACGGACGAAGAGTCACTCGACTCTTCGTAATGTCCGACGGTCTCGTAAAAAGTTAGCCAACTTCCTCTCCTATAAAAGGAGGGGTTGGCCGCAGAGATGAACACACCAGTACAAACTCTCTCTCTCTCTACAGTAACGTATACTCTTCCGACGAATTGCCAATTTTCCGATCATCTTCTCCGGCAGTAACGTCCCGTCATTCTCGTTCGCCGGTGCTCTGTTCTACCGCCCTAGACTTAGCACGTTGCGGTTTTATCCTGGGAGGAGATTGCCCACGTTTTGCCAGTGCGGGAGGCGGGCAATACCATTGTTGTGTTTTTTTCTAGGAACATTCAAATGGATGTTTAGGTGTGGGAGAATGAGTAACTCGATGTAGTATGGTTCCCAAATGCTAGTTGACCAAATGTCATCAGGGACTAAAATTACAATATTAACCCTTTACTTAGCAGCAAAAGCAAGGAGGACATAACCGAGGACTAAGTGTGGAAGAGGATTAAATAAAAAAGGATTAAGGATGAAACATAGAAACTCTTTACTTATGAATGATTATTTGTAGAATTTACTCTAATATTATTGAACAAACGTGTACTCCACCACTCTGAACTGGTTATCAGCATTTAATAAAGGGTGTTTCTTTGATGCCCAAACAAATGAGAGGGCATGGATGCCCCTCCATAGATATGTTGCCATGTGGACTTGTAATCATATCAATTATTAATCCTTTCATGCCATTTTAATTTTCAAAAATTCCATATTGGCCCTGTCGCTTCCCCCCTAATTAATTCTATAAAATTGTCAACTATTAAACTTGTTTCCTTCGTGATCTTTTATTTTATTTTTTCATACAAAATCATCTAAAATAAAAATAAAGTGTAAACTTTAACTCAAAAATAGAAATAACATATTTTTATATTTAAAATATGAATTTTTACTGTGACAATGCGACATAGTCCATTGAGATACCGTACCACAATGTTTCTAGTCAGGTATTATATTTTTAAAAATTGTGCTCTATATGATTTAAAAAAAATATTTTTATATTTGAAATAGAATATAAATGAAATGGAAAAAATTACATATACTTGGACTATATATAAAGACTAAATTATATTAACTTCTTGTTTTCTAAAATAAAAATATTTTTTTTGGGCATTACAAAAGTAAAACAATGAGTAGGAAAAGAAAATGAAATAATATACAAATAGAATAGAAAAAGACATGGAAAAAATATGTTTATACAAAAGATGAAAAAGGGAGACATGTAGTGAG